TTTTTTTTTTTTTTTTTAGTCACTTAAGTTTCAGACGCCTGAGTTGTAAAACCAGAACAGCACCTGACTTGGTAGAGATTTGGGAAATTTTACATGAGCTCATAAAGTGAAATGCTGAGCATTTCCCCATAACATGTATGAAGCATGGGGCATACATTATTCACTTTATTGCTTTTTTTTATCATACTGTCAGATGTCCTTGATACCATCAGCCCCTAGAACTCTCTGGTCTCTGAAGCTGAGATGTCCCCAGAGCCTGCCCCTCCTTTCCTCACCAGGCACCATCCAGAATGGTGAGTATTCAGCACACAGCTTTACCCTGCTCTGCCTCCAGCTCCTGTTCTCACACCATCTGTTGGCTGCCACCAGTGGCATGAGCTCCATGGGTGAGCTGTCTCGGCCTCAGGGGTTTCAAGGCTGCAGGGCCCAGTCAGTGACTCTAGGAGGTGGCTGTTATGTCTCATTGTCTTTATTCTGCCCACAGAGTCTTGTTCCAAAGCCCACAGCTCTTTGTACCTAGGCTTAGGATGTTCCTGAAACACCATTATTCTAAGGGCTGTTGCCGAGCACCTCCAATAAGTATCATTGGAACCTGAATCTTGTCACATAGCAAGGCCCCAATGAAGAAACAATAGTAATAGCTTTAGCATGGGATACACAGAAAAGAAATGAGTGCCAAGGGAAGTCTAGCCAGCACCCTCTCAGCACCTCCTAGCCTTGGCTAGGGCTACATCCATGTCTCCAGTTGTACCTCATCATGATTAGACCAGCCAGACCAGAACTCAACTGCATGACTTCTGAATTTGTAAATGAAGAATCTGGGCTTCACAAAGGTGGGGTGATTTTCTCAAGGTCCCCCAGTTTTAACAAATATATTTTGGGCTTCAGAAGAAGGCTTGGGCCAAAGTTCTTCTTGTGGACAAATTAACAATGGGCATTGAGCATGGACCAAGGCAGTGAGAGCAAAATGTTGTTGGAGATCGCCTTTAATTCCTCCACTCTGGCCTCTGGCTGGGTACTGCCCATGCCCATCTGGGTGCAGAGACAGAAGCCTGGATGAGATAGAGAAGGGTGGAGAGATGAGGCATTCTTTCTGCACTGGTGGGGCTGTACTAGATCAAGTTCTTGCAGGTGAAATGTTAATGGACTAGTCAGTTGTCCACTGTAGCCTCAGGTCAACCTTCTAGAGAAAAATGACCAATCTTTGCCAGGGAAGCTTTGCTTCAATTTTCTCCATGGAAACTTCTCAGACCTCCACTTAATACATCCCCACATGCACTTTAAAAACCAAACATCTTGCCAAACATGGAGAAACACCCCCTGGGGTGTGGCCTAACAGGACATGAATAGTTACAGAGCCTGGACTCTATTCATTTGCTCCTTTGCTCCTTAAGAAGGGACCAAGAAGATTAAAGCACATTTCATGTGTGCATTTGTACTGTCCCAAATGGTCCTCACTAGGCCAGGTGTGATATCATCCCACACCCGGAATGGGATCAAGGAACTGAAGTTTAAGGCTATTTTATTTCAATTGTTTTAAAATTTAAAATGGACACAATGAAAAGCTTGTTTACTTGTTGCATATAATTTCTCTCTCTCTCTCTCTCTCTCTCTCTCTCTCTGTGTGTGTGTGTGTGTGTGTGTGTGTGTGTGTGTGCAGTGTATATGGTATGTGTGTACCTAGTGGTGTCAGTGCATGTAAATGTGTGTGAAAGGATGTACTTATATGGGTTTCTTTGTAGGGGCTAGAGGTTGATATTGGTGTCTCCCTCAATTGTCATTAATTAAGGGTTTTTTTTTTTTTGAGACAGCGTCTCTTTGGAATCTGAAGTTTCTAGATTCAGCAAGTTTAGCTAGCCATTGAGCTTCAGGGACCTACCTATCTCTACCTCTTACTGCTGAGATTATGGGAATGAGCTTCTCCAATCAGGTTGTCATCTCAGTTCTGGGGACACAAACTCAGGTCCCTGTGCTTGCGTGGCAGGCTCTTTACTGACTAAGCCATCTCCTTTGCCCTTTCATTTTAACTATTTAAAACATAGCATCTGAATCAAGACACACTCTAAATGTAAAAAAATATCAGCTATCAAGTGGTACAAAAACAAGAATGTGAAATATCTTCCATTTAATAGTTCTGTAAAATATTGATTACTTATTAAATGGTATTTGGGGCATGTTAGATGAAATAATTTATATTATTAAAATCAATTTAAAGTTTCTTTTATTTTCATAATGGGATTTCAAACATTAGAAATTATATCCACCAATCAAATTATATTTCTATTGAACAGTGATGCTCTGGAGCTTTTAAAAAGCTATTTGTAGAGGGTTATTTTGTTCCTTAGGGGACATCTGAGAATGTCTGGATATATTAGGTTGTGACAATTGGGGCTGACATGCTAATGACATCTTGTGGGTAGAGGAGGGAGGTTCTCTAAACATACCACAGCACATAGGTTGGACTGCAGCCACTGAGAACAATCCAGCCCCAGATGTCAACTGTACCACGGTCAGAAGCCTTGGTCTGGAGCAGGGATTTCTTGAAGGGAAGCCTAGTGGTTCAGGGACACCTAAAGAATTAACTGGGCTGAGACATTCACACACTGATAACACTTAGTTCTTTTTGTTAACCCTGGAGTTAGGTCTGATTAATCCCACTTCTCCACGTGAGGAGATCAAATTCAACAGAGTAACTGACCCAGATCACCAGACCAGAAAGTGGCAGAGTTGAGAGCTGAAATCAGCCTCCACTCATCGCAAAGCCTAGGCCATCCATGCTACATCACATGACTGTGCATATCACCATGCTGGAGCAGCTTTGGAAACAGCCACCTGAACTTATAGCCCAATATCCCCATCACTCATACCCAGGCAGTTATTATTTACATCAGCTATTATTGCCACCAGAGAATGGGCATTAACAAAAGCACCCTTTGAAAGGGACAGCATGCTCTGAGAAAAAACTCACAGGCACCTCACCCATCAAACTAAGCTAGGAAACGGGTGGGAATAAATGGAGCACAATAAAATAAACCTGTCAGAGGAGGAACATTCGGATGCCTCAGAAGGCAAAAGGTAAGAACAAATGCTCCCAATATGGGATTGGCCCTGTTTAAAGAAAACATCATTTCACTGTTTGACTTGAATAGAGCCAAGAGAACAATGGCCAGCATAAATAGAATTGCTCATACACACTCCAGGGAGGCACTGTTTCCCCATAAATCCGGTTTGGGGACAGTAGCTAGAGTCACTTCCCTCTCATTGCCTTTGTGCATGCTCTCATGTGTCTATCTGTGACTTGCCTCTCTTGAGGAAGGGTGAGTTTGGTGGGTCTATTTTAGAGAAGGGTGGGAACTGCCATTTTATGAAGACTTACTATGTGCTGCCAGTGTGTAGGGCATTCTGCAAGGTTACTAAATTCAATCTTCAATATGAAATAAACATGATACTTGGTTTCCAAAGTAAAAATAAGCCCATCCAGTATGTTAAGTGTCTGTAATCAAGGAGTGGCTAAGATGAGATACTTGCAATGTTGCCAGGGACACACTTAAATGTGCTGCTTTACGGCAATACAAATAACGGGGCCAACACAGTGCCACAGTGGATGCTACCGAGGCTCTACCCACATCTCCTTTATTTGACTGGTGTATTTACTTGAAGCTACTGTAGATATTGGATGTAAATGGCTCATTGATACCTCCTACTCTGGAGAAGGTATCCACTTCTCTAGAAGGTTGTGCACACTCGTGACAGTGGATAGTTATTAACACATGGGGCCAACCTATGTAACAACTGTATTCCAGAGACACCCCAGCCCCAGGGTTATAGCTAACTTTGTTCTCTCCTGTATCTATCTCCTTTATGTCTGAGCACATCTCTCAATGGATAATCTGCACCAGAATCCCCATCACAGGGTCAAGTGATGTTTGGGAAGGGGGTGGAGCAGATGAAAGAGCTAACGTTACCCTTGACAGCTACACTTTATTTCCCACCACTATTAACAGACCAGTCAGTGATTGGGACAGGCAAGAACTTTGATAAAGACTGTGGGTGAATATGTGAAATCTCTCAAGAAGCTTTCTATTGGTCAGAAGGGGACTCTTGAGGAAGGAGAGGTATGGTTTACAGGTTATCTTTCCTTTCCATGTTCTGAATAGGCACTGGCTTTTAATGGGTGGGCTCTGTATCTTTTGAATTACTGTCTATTTCTGTGAAATGAACTCTGCCTATGCTGTGTTTGAGGGAAAAGGCTTACATTTATACCAAACAAATACACTAGGTTGGGCACTTTTATTCCAGCTTCTTTGACATTTATTATCTTGTTTAGTCTTATAATGCGATTTCAGAGGAATCTGAATATGTAGAGTTCATAAAGCCAATATGTGTTCCCAAAGAGACAAGTACTATTATTCCTTCTTAACAGAAAGGAAATGTGGGGCCAGTCACATCTAAAGGATGTACCAGGGCCAATGATAGAGCTGAGGTTGTGATCAAACCTACTCATTCCTTAAGAACAGCCTGTTAAGTCAGCTTTCTCCCACCCTTGGACAACAACTCAGTTGCCATTTCTCCTGTGAAATACTTCTTTAGTTCCAGGTGTGCGTGTGTGTGCACACGCACATACGTGTGTATGTGTGTGTGTGTATTTTACACTTCTCCTTAGCATTAGTGAGAATTGCACATTTATTTGTGTAGTCGTTTTATCAATGAGATAAGGCATCAGAATTTGTCTTTGTTGCTTGTTATTGTATTCCTCAGTACTTAGAACAATGCCTGGTACATAGTAGGTAGAATGGGTGAATGGATAAGCAGAGGGATGTATGAATAGGTAGGTGGAGAGAATGGTGGTTAGATGGATGAAAGGGTGGATGGGCAGGTAGGTGGGTGGGAGGATGTGGTGAAAGAACTCTCAGTTCATCTCTGTGCACCTGGCCTAGAAAGCCCACAGAGCATGGGCCCTGGGCCATTCCCTCCCTCCTGTCCAGGGCTCTGGTGATCACCTGTGGTGAGGAGGCAGAGTGGAGTCCCCGGGGTCACCTGGGCGCTGCCCATTGGTGCTGACCACAAGGAAGCCAATCCCCAGGCAGCATGCAGAAGAGAAGGAGAGAAAGAAACACACATGAACACATGTGGTACAATGAGTAAGACTAATTCTTCTGGCTCTAAAAAAGAGCTTGTACTGAACAACAAAAGAACATCATGATTTACCAAACACAGGGGCCTGAAATAGATTTTTCTTAAATGATAAAAGAGTAAGAGTCACCATTTATCAAGTACACATGACATATCATGTACTCTACCAAGTACCTCGTGTACAGTGTTCCTAAGAAATAGGACAACTAGAATGGTCGGTGGCATTACAAATGAATCTGTCATTTCTCCAACCAAAGTACATCTCCCCCGATCTTTCTAGTTTTTGTAAATGGTGCCACCACCCACATAGCATCTCTGGGTGATTACCCTCACCCCTATTAGTAAGGGTGTCCATCTTCTATCCTTCTTTTACATGACTTCCCATTTATAGCTGGTCACCATCTCTTACTGATTCTACTACAGAAAAGCTCACCAAGATGCCCCCTTCTCTCCAGTTTCAGTCCCACTTTCTCCAGCCATTCTTATATTGCATTTGGACCATTTAAACAGCCTCTATGGGCTCACTGTTCTGGTCTTCCTACCCCGCTACTGAGTCGCTACCATTTGATAGAAACATATCATCATCCTCGCTGCCTTCAAAGGTAAACCTCAAAACCCTTGACACAGCTCACAGACCATCGGTGATGACTTCCCAGCTTTCCTTGCCATACTCATTCCTCTATACTCCCACCACCTTATTCTCTGCTCAACCGCCAGCATGTAAACACATTCCCATGATGAACAGCCCCGATTGCTTGTGTATAGACCATGCCTGGGCCAGTCAATTGTAAGGCATGGATTCCTGCCTGCCTCTTACCCTAGGAGACAACTGCTAACCTATCAGGAATCAGCTTGGATCTTCCCTCAAGAGTCCTGCATTTGCAGCAGATAGGTCTCCTTTGTCTTCCCATAATATCCTAACATTCCCTTCTCATTGCAGCAACCTCCCCCTATTGTGAGTGGATGCTTTTCCCTTAACCCTATAGTCTCCTTGAAGGTAAATACTGTGTCTCATTGACTAATGTGTTTCTGTGACCCTCTTCTGCACCTGGAACATAGTAGGTACTCAATGAATATTTGTTGGGTAAATGAATGAATGAAGAAATGGTGACTCAGAAATTTTACAGCTTGATCAAGGTCACAAAAATAGTAACTAGCAGAGGCTGTATTCAAAGCCTGGTTTGTCTAGCTTTAATGTCCCTGTCCCTCCAAGTGTCTAAAGAAAGTGATACAAAAATCCCAGCAAGTATTACACCCTCAGTCACAGACTACAATGTTCCCTGGTCATTTGTCAGCAAAACTGCACAAGATCTTTATTCAAAATGGTGAGAGTGATGGGGTATCCCAGACCAAGTGATAAACAAAGATACATTATTTCCAAAATGATACAAGAGGCAAGCTTGACCAACAGCCAGTTGACAACTATAAAAGTTAACCACCCATGCACAGTGATCATAACACTCTGTTCTGAAAGACATGTGAAGTTTTGTCCTTTCCAAAGCACTTTCTAAGTCAGTGGTGAGTTTGTGGTCCAAGTCTGGTATCTATGCTATTTCCTGTGTAGGTATACAGTAAGAATGGTTCTTAGATTTTTAAAGTGGTACAGGAAAAATATGACTAATATTTGGCAGTATGCTCTTCTAATTAGCTTTCACTGTCAACATGACATAACCTAGAGTCAGCTGAGAAGGGAGTCTGAATTGAGCACTTGTTCAGTTTGGAACAGCCTATGGGCATGTCTGTGAGTGTTGTCTTGATTGTTATAGATGCAGGAGGGCTCAGTCCTCTGTGGGCAGCATCAGTCTCTAGGCAGGTGGTCCTGGGCTATATCAGAATGGCCAATAAGCATGAGCCTGCTAACAAGCAGTGTTCTTCCATGGTTTCTGCTTCAAGTTCCTGCTTTGGCTGTCTACAATGATTTATTGTTATGTTATGTTATGGACTGTAACCTGTAAGCTGAAACAAACTCCTGCCCCAACTTGCTTTTGGCCAGAGTGTTTTATCACAGCAAAGAGATAAAACTACAATTTATATGAAAATTATATACATTCAAATTTTTCATTCTCAGAGTTTTATTTTAATACAAATGTCCTCCTATGTATCTCTACAATTGCCTTTGCGATTTGGTGGCAAATCTGATAGGGAGGAGAAAGATCTTAAGGCCTACAAAATTGAAAATATTCACTACCTTGCCTTTTATAGGAAAGGTTGCTAACCCCTGTTCTAAGTGACTATTTCCTATTAGTCTGTTTTCCTTCCAGCCCCATGAGGTGGGTAAGACAAGGTACTGCGGAGCTCACATGTCAGAAAAAGACAATAGGCTGGGGAAAGACAAGACTCAGACTTCTATATAACCTCCATCAGCAGCCTCTTAACTGTTCTTTCTAAGCAGCCTAGCTCCTGCCTTAGTCCATCTTCTCCATTCACTGTTGAGGCTGCAGCTAGGGTACCCTCCTGAAAAAGGAGTCTACTTAAGCACTCCCGTCCAGGACTCTCACTGGACAGAGAAAGGGAGAGGGAGAGGGAGAGGGAGAGGGAGAGGGAGAGGGAGAAGGGGAGGAGAGAGAGAGAGAGAGAGAGAGAGAGAGAGAGAGAGAGAGAGAGAGAACCACCAATGGGACTATATTTAGTGCAGAGTGGTTTTGCATGATACTTCTGTTTATATGGGGAGTATGTGTGCATCAGTGCAGGCACCCTTGGAGGCCAGAGGCATCAGATCCCCTTCACTCTGGAGTTGAGGGCAGTTGTGAGTGACCTGACGTGCGTGCTGGGACTCAGTAAGAGAACAGTTGTCTTGTTTAACTGCTGAGGCATCTCTCTAACCCTAGCATGTTTTCACCTCACGATTGCTCCTAACTACCCCTGTTCTGAAAATCTTTCTAACCCTCATATCATCCTCTGTGATGATTTTCACTCTTGTTTCAAAGCTTGGCTTTGTACCCATACACTCTGAGAAAGCTTGTACTATGATTTTTTTGTTTGTTTTGAATTTCCCTTCTTGCCCCAATGGCATTTCAGGCAAATATTCACCTTAACCTTCTTATGCTATGTTGGTGTTATGCTATGGTATGTGTGTTAGCTCTTCCAGTGCCTACCATTTGCTGAGTGTTTGTTATCAGTCAGGTACCACACAGAGTACTTGATCTGCACTACTTTGCTAGGTTCTTGTATTAGGTCATGGAAATCAGTGGCATTGCTCCTGTCAGTCTGTGGATGCTGGCATTGAGATTCAGAGCAGTTAAGTACCTTTGCTGGCCTAAAATCTAATGCTGTGCAAACCCAAAGATGAACTTCTCAACCACTAGAGAATAAGGGGCCACATATCAATATGAAATTTCACTTAATAAACAAATAATAAAAGCTAACTGGGTATATAAAATTATGGCTCAGTATTTTCAATTTACCAGGCATGTCACTTGGAAAATAGCATGTTCTTCTAAGCCAGGCTCTTTACCTAAAACGTGAAGGCAATAATAGATATCTTGAAAAATGATTTTAAGGAAACAGCACAAGTCTTAGTTTAGCTGGCAGAGCCCAGAGGAGGCCCCCTCACTTTACCTTCTAGGGATACAACTCTGGGGTAATGCTCAGGTAGCAGGCATAAGACCACAGGAATAGATGGGTGCTCTTATAGTGAGTGGAGAAGCAGAGGAGAGGTGTGATTATGGATTTAAGCAGAACAGGGAAATGGAAATAGGAACAGGTGCTGCACATGGAACTGGAAATGATACAGTTTGCCAGTACCATTTCACTTCTGAGATGTACAGAAGAGACAGAGTCACCTTGAGGTCAGGCTGTATCATGTAGTAGCTCTTATCAAGGACATGGAGTGGAAATATTAGTCATGTCTAAGTGAGATATTTAAGATACTGAGATTTGGTTCTAGCTTGTTATTGCAGCAAAGCCTATTCTATCCTGACTAGCCCACTTGAAGAAGAGGTGGAAACATCTTCCTTCTCCTGCATCACCTGCTTTTTCTAAAAATTGGAGGGTTTGTGACTCACATCTCTCTTCACAGGATCTGTTTGGTGTATTTATGTACATAAGCAACCATGAATGAAAATCTGAGACCCCATAAAGAAAAAGAAAGCCAGAATGTGGAGTGCCTCTGACTTTTTTCTCTTCCAAAGCAATGAATGTCAAGTATAGAGAGATACTGCTGGGCTATAGCTGGCCCTGGAGAAGACACGGAAGACAAACTAATTTCTTAATTTCAGTATGGAATTTAAGAGAGCTGAGAACTTTTTGAGCCTCCTCATTTTCTGCTCCTGACTTCAGATCTTAAATACCCCTGAAGAGATACAATGCCTGTTACAACCTGAAAACAAACTTACCAATCATTAGTAGAAAAGGGGTGTGGAGAAGGGTTAAGAAACAGATGTGCAATCCTACTGGTGATCCATGGAATGTCTTAGCCAGTTGCTGTGGAATGTTCTGTATGTCAAATGTGTTGCTTTGATTGGTTAATAAATAAAACACTGATTGGCCAGTAGCCAAGTAGGAAGTATAGGCAGGACAAGCAGAGAAGAAAGTTCTGGAAAATAGAAGGCTGAGGCAGAGAGACCCTGCCAGCCGCCGCCATGACAAGGGAGATGTAAGGTACTGGTAAACCATGAGGCACGTGGCAACTTACAGACTAATAGAAATGGGTTAATTTAAGATAGAAGAAGTAGATAACAAGAAGCCTGCCACGGCCATACAGTTTGTAAGCAATATAAGTCTCTGTGTGTTTACTTGGTTGGGTCTGAGCGGCTGTGAGACTGAAGGGTGAGAGAGATTTGTCCTGACTGTGAGCCACGCAGGACCAGAAAAACTCCAGCTACAGCCAGTCTATGATAGGAAAAAAAATTCAGTAGTGATATGGAGTGAGCTCTGAGTAGCATACCTGGAGACCTGAAGGTTTTCATACTTTTGAGCTTATGTG